GATGTAATGTGATATTTGGATAGGCCTTGGCATGTCTCTAACATAGATTAAATTGGGGGCATTTGGAATTGTTTAAAAAACTAGAGGAAATTAATTAATTAGTTTGATTAATTTTGTTTTAAGTGTTTTAGTCACTTAACTTGTCATTTGATGATATATATGTGATGACCATGACATGCCCTTCAAAATATATTAAATTGAGGTTATTTGGGATTAACTTGGGATTTAGAGAATTTAACTATTTATGTTTAATTAAATTCTATTTTATTACTTCATAGATTTAATTGCATTTTAGAAGTTGTTTTTATATTTGAATCATGGATTTGGATTTGGTGTATGTTCACTTGATTACTTTTGAGCATTGTATAACATAGTTGTTACTTTTATATTCATGAGAATATGTTTTTCCTTATTGAATATATTGTTACTATGTGTAAAGAATTGCACACTTTGTATTTGACATCTTTCATGCCATAGTAGTTGTAGACTTTGAACATGTATTGTATAAGTTTTCAAAATTGGATTATGCTTGATAAATAGTTGATATCTTGTATATACATGTTGATATATATATACGTTGTTGCATAATTTGTTGATTTTGGAAACTTGGGGATGTCGTTGTTTGGCTACGGCTAGGATTTGGTTCTAGTACGGGGGATTGTCCCTCTATATAATCTAGTGCGCACATAGGGAGGTTACCCATGGGCTAGTAACCCTAAAGTAACTATGTTGTCGGTCTGATCCGGCGTGACGTCTGAGTATCCACTTTGTTTGATTTCGTATTTCATTTCAAGTTGATAACTAGATGATATCGTAACTTGTTGTTCTTTGTTTGATTTCCCATTTTAAGTTGCAAGATGTTAACTTTGAGAAATCATGCTTTAAGCGTTGTATTGGAATTTCCAATGTTGGTTAAATTGCATCGATATCATAATTTATGTTTTGATGTTCAAATATAGTTTAGGAATGATCCTATAGATTCACGTTGAACATAGACATTAGATGGCATGACCCACTCTTGTTGTTTTCGTATCTTGGATTTCAAGTTGAAGACTTTGAGAATCTATATCTTGTTACTTTGTATAACATGTTTCCATGTTGTTTGAATTACATGAACAATGTGATTATGCTAGAAATGTTTTAAGGTAGCTTAGGATGATCCTTGAGTCTCACTTGACATAGATGTTAGGTGGCATGAGCCCCTTTAACATGTTTCACCCTAAGGTGATAAAACTGTAAAACGCTAGGTCGATGCATGCTCATCTCCTACGAGTAGTTTTATGTTACTCACCCCTACGTTACTGGGGTATATTTCAGGTACAGGACTCAAGACTTGAAGATTTCATTGCCTTGGATCGTTTGGTAGCTTTATGTATCAAACTTGTATTCTTTGATTCTACGTATGTAAAATGTACATAAGTACACTCCTTTTAATGCATTTGACATGTAGGACATGAGGCCAAGGGCCAAGCAAGTTTATATTTGCACTTGTATTCAATTGATGCCATATTTTGCTTGAAAATGTATTTTTATCAACTATGGAGGCTTTGTATGCTAAAACTTGTTAATGGAATGTAAAGAGGCTTTAGGCCATGTTGGTACATCTATTTTATCATATTGCATGCACTTGCATACTCACTTTGGCAAACAACACCATCCTTGATGAAACAAAAACTCTAAGTACCATTTTTAGAGAGTTTTACCCTATTCTATTCCAGGGGCATTTCAGGTATTTCACAATGCATTTTTTTCATTTTTCCTCTCTAGTCAGATAGAAAACTCAATTTTGAGGGGGGTTTCTTCTTTGTATTTTTTTAGAAAATGCCATCTTGGCCCTCAAAAATCCATATTTGTCCAAAAAATCCTTGCTGCTAGGTTTTGCAGATTTTTAATGCAAATGTACTTGGTACTATTCATCGACTTTTTTTTGAAAAGTGTGATGACCGATCCGAAACTTCCGGGGGGTCTTGTGGGTGTATTTTAAGATTGCATTTTCAATTTAGGCAATTTAAAAACCTCTCGAAGCCCTATTTCCTTCTTTGGGCAGCAGCTCGGAGAAATTCTTACCCCCTTGACCATATTTTCTTGGGGGCATTCTGGGCATTTTACAATACATTTTTTTTTGTTTCCGTTCGAGATCGGGGTAGGAAACTTGATTTTAGGGGGGCTTTCTTCTTTGAGTTTTTCCAAAAAAGTCCGTTTAGATGACCGTTTTTACTCTCAGTTGCAGCAGTAGTGGGTTGATGGCACTGTAGCTGTCACGGCCTTCGTCGGGCTGCTGCGACGTCGATTTTGTTTTTGACCTTTCTCCCTCATTCGGACTCCAAATCAAGTGAATTTTTTTTTGAAATTGATTAATTTTTCATTGTTTATCCAACGGTGTGCTCGGTTGCACTCAAATATTTCTGAATAATTACCAGTTTACCCCTTTTAGCTTTATTGCTCGTTTTTCTTTGTTTTGTCTTTTCTCCTTCGTCCGGAATCCGAATAATAAAATTCTTGAGTCCATCATGATTTGTTTTTCATTGTCTTCCTAGTGGTGTGCTCGATAGCGCTTGAATCCACTTTTTTTGCAAAATGACCATTTTGCCCCTAGGTTCTTTTTTGTCAGTTTTTGAAACGACACTTCCGCATTTGTTTTCCTTAGGGTTCCATGACCTCATTGAGGGTCACATTGGTGTCTTAGAGACGCATTGTATCTCTAGAGACCGTTGTTTCACCTTTCGCTTTCACATTTCGGATCCGTTATCGGGTCATCTTTTGGTCATCACTGACGGACCGGGTTTACAAAACTTGGGCCGTCACATAGGCGCCTCCTAGGCTTCCGGTTTTCGCAACACTTTTAGAAAATATTTCCCTAAAATAATTTCGTTTGTTCTAAAAAGAATATTTTTCCCCCTTTCTCTTTCCCAATGAATGCATGAATGTGTGTGTTTCAATTTATTAATTCAACTATAGGTTTTCACACATTCCATTTATATCATCATTACAATTCAACAAGAATTTCTAAACATTCATTTATTTTATTTATATATAACCATAGCATCCATTTCTTCTCAAGACAATAAATAAATAATCATAGAACATATAACATATCAAACATTAAACATGTTCATTTATCGCAATGAAAATAGACATGCATATGAACTCAAATAACTCATGGGACACAGTTATCATTTTAATTACACATAACTACAACAACAACAAACTAGGTAATGAAAATTTAGCATGCTTATGATCAAATTTAAGGGGAAAAATTCACAAAAGGCCAAGAAATTGTAGATTAGAACACCCCTACCTCAAATTGATGAAAACTCCCAATTTGAGCCCAAGAACCCTAGAATTTTGAACTACTTAGAGTGCACCAAATGATGATTGGCTCCTATCAAATTGACGGCCTCGGCGAGCTCAACAACTTTGCTTCACGATGTTCTACCAAATTCCCAAAGGAAAAAGCTAGATTAAGGTTTGAAGTTGCAAAAAGAAAAAAAAAAACTGCCGAGAAGAAGTGATGCAGCAGAGAGAGGATGGTTCTGCGTAATGGCCTTATGGCCTTTTGTTATGTTTTTAATATATTGGTGGAACCCACTTGCTTTTAAAAAAAAACTTTATAACTTTAATATATATATATATATATATATATATATATATATATATATATATATATATATATATATAATCATACCCATTACATTATTGCATATGCTAAATGCAATCGTTGTTTCCACGAAAGAGGAGTTCTTTTATTTTGTTTTAATTTTATATTGCTAAGGAACTAACAATATGTAAGTTTGGAGGTGTGATAAATGTTGAATATTGCGCATTCAAGCCTTTAAGTTTGCATATGTTGGTGCTTTAATAATGCTTTTATAGTATAAATTATGATGTTTTATTGGATTTGGTTATTTCCCTGACTTCCTGCTAGAATGGGTATAATTCAGTTACTTTGAGCCAAGGATGGTGTTTCTAAGGTTGAAAAAGAATGCCGACGTGTTCCAGATTGATTCCAAGTTCCAAGAAGCCAAAGAATAAGAATTTTGCAGTCTACGATCGATCGCAAAGATCGATTGCAATGTTCACAGAGTGCAATCGCACATGTACGTATTAGAAATAGTTTTAAAAGCTGCGAGAATTATCAAGTCTCTCTTTACTTATCGTATATGGGCCGGAACCTGACCAAAGTTGGATGGACGTATCTAGGGCCCAATGTAACCCAATTTAGGTTTGAATTACACAGAATTCTGATTTGGATTGTTTCCACAGTGGCTTCCTACCTCTCTCTTTCTCTCTCCTGTGTTCACAATCCGAAAAGATAATCCGCAAAACCTGTATTAGTGGTGATTTATACATGCGTGTATATATTAAGAGAGAGAGGACTATAGCTCCTAATCACTCATAATTTTCCTCCCAGCAAAGAAAATTTTGCAATACTCGATATGGTATTTTCGGAATTCTCAACCTATGAATGTGATAATGGAACTCACCTGTTGAATAATATAACGATTAACGACTAAAGATCTAGGTGTACAATACCCGAGACACTGTAAACCTCCTCAGCCGACTAACCAAAATCATTGATACATACTGGACCCACCTCACAGAAAACTTTCCTAATACATATCACAAAAGCGTCATGTGACATTTATTTTGATAATTAATAGAAAACTCATCGTTCCTCATTCATAGACTCCTTTCAATAGTGGATCTTCGTTGATCACCATAAATAAATAAATGGTTTCCTTATAGTCAGGTTAGTTTCCTTACACTGTTAGGGTTATTATTATTATTCTAAATACATGTTATAAATAAATAAATGGTTTCCTTATGAATTAGTTTCCTTAGTGTTAGTTTCCTTACACTGTTAGGGTTATTATTATTATTATAAATACATGCTATGGGATATTTTTATTTTGTGGTTAACTTATTACTGCTACCTCCATTATTGATATTGATTTGAAACACGTTCAGAATAGAGACTCTTGTCTTTATCAATTACTGAGATGGGAAGCAGAAACAGCGACAACAAAAGCAAGGGCAACGACAACAGCAACTCGAATTGGTTGCCTATAGATATCATCTATGACATACTAAGAAGAGTACCTGCTGAATCACTTGTTAGATTCAAACTGGTATGTAAGTTGTGGAAAACCATCATCTCTAATCCTAAATTTATCAGCTCTCATCTTCACATATGGAAATCCAAGCCCTCGTTCATCTTCTCAGCAGATTTCTGTTTACGTCCCGATCGCTTGCTTCTTTCGGATCTTCAAGACAAAGACTCGACAGATTTTCCTGTACGTTTCCCCCAAGCTTATGATGAAATTGTTGCCTCTACTGATGGTTTATTACTTCTTAAATGTTTTCTTGTTCATTCGGAAGCAAGGCTGTGTGTTCATAATCCTGTTACTGGTAGTAAAAAAAAATTACCACTAAATCCAAATCACATAAATCATAATGGTTCCTGTTCTTATTGGATAGTACATGATGCTTCAATTCAAAAATATAAAGTGGTGGTTTTTATTGATCATGATGGAGATCTTAATGTCCAAAATGAGATGGGCATAATTACTGTAGACAATGATGGAGATAAGAGATGGAGGAAATTGATCAGTCCATCGGCATTTTGCCTGGGTGTTGCTTTCCAGGTCATCACTGTGAATGGGATATTGCATTGGTTAGCATTCACTTCTGATATTATGAATTGTCTTTTTAATCCTGATCTTCAAGTGGCTTTTGTACAATCAATGGACATTGCTAAAGAGGAATTTAGGCAAGGAATAAGCTTGCCATGTCAACCAAAAATAGATTATGATGATTTCCGATATGTCCGACTGATAAATTGCAACTTGTTGGAGATGAAGGGATCGATCTGCTTCTCAAACCCGGCCACTGATACAGAATTAGAGTTATGGATATTGGAGGATTTGGATAATCATATTTGGGCTATGAAACATAAAATATGTCTTCTTTCAATTGTTGATAAGCCTAATGGTCTTGCAAGTTTTTTAGTGACTGATTCATTTTACACAATTCAAATGATAGGGAATCACGGATTGATGATCTTCGTTGAAGATTCAAATTCTCCTTATTTAGAACGAATGCGCTGGTACTTGTATGACTTGAGGAGCCACGAGTTTAAAGCTATTGTCAATAGGTCTGCTGAAGCAAAAAGATGTTATTTTTATTCAGGTCTGCAGATTACTCATGTCAAAAGTCTAGTCAGTTGGAATATCCTAGAGGAGAATTGGAATGGTGTTACTATTGCTTCCAACCTTGCCTATTTTTTGAAACCAGCAGCTTTGTGTTATCCAGAGGTTTTCAGATCTTTATGCCCCCGCCATGACTTAATTAAGCGTTTTGCCTTTGAATGCATTGGGAGAGTTCTGCAAATCTTTCATGGGCTGGCCAATGGTGGTAAATATGAAGAGTCTTTGTTGTTAGAAGCAGAGGAGTTGGTGGATAATTTGAAGGGTGCTAGAGTCGATGTTGATTGGCTCGAGGAGCGATTGAGCATTCAACGGAAAATGATGGCGGCTAAGGACAAGATGACAAAATATGGAGCTCTTTTGAAGGCAACTCAGGATAAATATAATAGGTTACAGGACCGTTACCGTTTTTCTGAGATAGAGTCGGAAGTAAGCAAATTAATTGACTACTTGCAATTGATATGATGATTATGCTGAGTTAGAGTTTGTAATTGATATGATGATTATGCTGAGTTAGAGTTTGAAGTAACCAAACTAATTGACTATTAGTAAATGATATGTTTGATGCTTTGTTATATATAGAAAACATGTATCACAGTGAGCCTGGGCAGGGGCTATTGTCGTGTCTTAGAATCCGCACATTTCTGGTGCTGTTTTGTGATGCAGTTTTGAGCCAAGAATTTCCATTTTTGTTTTGAACTGAATTATGAAATATTTCTTTTTTCTTATCTATTCAACATACACATTTAAAAACAGGTCTTGCTTCAAAGGTTGATGATTATCTTTTTTCTATTACCAAGGTAAATGAGGTCTTCTGTGAAACTAATGAAGTTAACCAACTTCACCCATGTCAAACGAATAGTTGATTGGAATTTAAAGTGTTTCTGGTGTTACTATAATCGAAGTCAGTAACTCAAAGTTGTGTTTGCCAGTCATTCTTTATGGTAGTAATTGTTTCCAATAGTGTATATATCGTACCTACAACACCTGATTTTTACTGTAATTAATTGCATTGACAACCCGAACAAGTTTTCTGCCTCTGGGTTACAACAATTGATATATCAATAGAATTCGGCATACTGATTCAAAGAGAAACAGTTCCAAGAGTGACGCGAATGGGCTGATCAGAGGGTGAAGCTGAAAGTGGTGGGCTCTGAGGTTGAGAGAGCCATCGACCAGAGGTTATTACTTAATTGGTCGATTTCGAATAAACTTAAATCAAGTGGATTAAATAATTTGAACAAATTTAGAAAGAAATTTGGTAACTCGAATGTCTGAAAATCTCATGAATTTTTATATCATTTCATTCAAATATGATTTATGACAGAGAATTTCAAATACTAGTTAATATGGTTATTGCTTTGAATTTTCCCTTTTAACTCTTACACTTGTAAACTTGCTATGATTGATCCTTTGGGACTACTCTAGACAACTTTTTCAATAATTCCTCGGTACAAGTGGAACCCGGTACTTACATGTGCCCTCGGAGTGAATTATTTGAATGTGTTCAGAGTGAATTATGCGAATATTCTAAGAGGCACAACATCGGCATTATAAGTTAAAAAAAATAGTTTTTAATAATTTCCAAGGTTATTCCAAGGTCAGATTCTTTTCCCTTTATTTTCCTTGTACAAGGTTATTCCAAGGTCGGATTATTTTACCTTTATTTTCCTTGTACATTAGTTTCCTATACAACTAGGTCGGTTACCATCCTTACAAATTTAAGGCCAGTTTCTTATTATGTTCCAGTTTTTTTTTTTTTTTAAATAGAAATATATGGTTTCCTTGTGCCATTATTACTGCTACCTCCATTATTCCAATAATAGTAATTTAAAATAGTTGTGAAGAAAGACTCTATTTAGTCATTACTTCTATAAAGAAAGAAAAATTGTAAGCAGCATAGCATGGGAGGTTGTGGAGGGAAAAAATCTCCCTCCAATGAGAATAATTCACGTCATCATAAATATAAACTTATCCTTGGTAAGTTTATAAAGCCCACTTCGCTCAAGCCCAAATTAAGAACACTGCCAGTCCAAGATCACTGTTCATAAGCCCAATACTAATGTTATTTGGTCTTCAATCCCATTAAAGCCCGAATTAAGAGATTATCAGTCCAACGTGCTAAACATCCAGCCCGTTGGTCAAGCCCAGGCGGTTCAAGGTACATTCAGCCCAGTTATCCAAGAGTGAACAAATCCTATCAGTAGAAGGATTTGTTGTAAAAGGAGAATTCTATGATAGGAAGTTCTGTACAAGGCAAGTAATACATATAGAAAATTATACAAGGGAAAAGCTCTATTTGTAAAGAAACTCTGTATAGGAAGAATTGGAGGACAAGCAATGCGAGTCCTATCTTAATTCGACCACCCTTTTGTGTATAAATAGGGGCTCAGACCTCCAATAAAGGAATCAAGCAATTCTACGCTTTTCTATATACCGCTCTGATTTATTCTTACTGTTTTTTGAGTGAGTTGTGTTATTTTTCTCAATCCTTATTGGTTGAGTGAAATTTTGCACCTACACTTTGGCGCCGTCTGTGGGAATCGTATAAAAATATATCCCCACCAAAGTTACAACACTTCAAATTAAAATCTCTAAGGCCAACAACGTGACGATGTCGAAGGAGAGTATGGATTTGAATCCAACCCTTTTCAGACGTCCGAAGCCCGTGTTCCACACACGACCAGATCTATCTCTGCACAACAAACGCAGGCGTCCAAAAGGATTCTCAGACAACCCAACATGCCGTGTTCCTCACACAGCCGAAGGATCTACCGAAGGATGTAGATCCGGCCAACACGTAACCACAACTCAACACCCACATGGTGATGGGTCTTTAATCAGATAAGTTTCCCGTGCCAAGTCCCGACGTGGTTTTTATAGTTAAATCTTTATTAAAAGTTAAATACATATTATATATATATCATTATATATATATATATATATATGTATATTTCCACATGATGCATCCAGCATTATATATGCTCCTCCAATACCCTCGGAGGACCTGATTGGATAAGTTCACTCTATCTAACCCTTTAGAAGTAGGGTTAATCAAATTCCAAATAGCCAAAGGTATTTTAATTTTTGGATTAACAATCATAGGTTTTACCCAAAAATTTGCACCAGGAGGCTTTTCTAGGTACAAAAAAATTGTTGTCGATCTCAGACTCACTCTCAGTTCCTCTATTCACTTCATTAACTATTGGATCATTCAACTATGATGAGTCTGATGTGATAATAGACAGCTCAAAGTTTTTGTCAACATTTTGAATCCTAATTTCAGTAGATTTCTGGACAAGAAAGTGAATCACAGCATCATTGTTTTTACAAATATCATTAATCAATCTCTGATCCTCCAATTGCTCACCATTGCATAATACCTCTTGATCATCAAGATTAACCAAATCATTCTTCTTTTTAGCAGTCTTATGTTTGACGTAACCAACGTCACCGTTCAACATGAAATGTGAATTCATTTCCACAAGATGTTCTCACATAGATACACGAAGATCAGAGAGACGGATAAGCAAATACAAAACATTCCCCACATTTTGTTATTGCCAAAGTTGCAACCTTACCTTAAGAATAGGAATCCTCGAATTCGAGCCAAGGCTTCAATGTACTTTTGTCAAAATGTACCATGATTGGGAACTGAGGGAATCAAGGCATATGGGATAGACAAATTAATCCAAATAGCTACATCTCAATTCGGTGACCAACTTTTCGAGTCCAGGATAGCCGCTCGTACTCTCTTGTTAGAGCTCCAAGTGGTATACCAAAAATCTCACATTCAATTACCAAGTACAATATTTGAGGACGCAAATATGGGTTCTTGGGAGCACTCCTGTCAGTCAAAGCTATCACCTTTAAGTACTTTAGCAGTGCTTCGTGTGACAAATATTGCACCGGAGGTCCCCGTTTTTGGTTCCTAGCATGAGTGGCTAGTTGAGGATGATGTCCAGGAGCTTGATTACTGGAGGACAAACACTCTACATTGCAAAGTATTAGTGTCTACTGTGTAACCAGTAAAGATGAGCAGATGACTGTCACAACTGGCCAAGCCCGCCGGTGCACCGCCGGGAGTTCACAGCCATCTTCCTTCTCTCCATCTCTACACAAACCACATTTTTCTCTCTCACCAATATGGACTCAATCAAGTCCATCAAAGCCTATGGCAAGGTTGACGATGACCAAGTATTTCGGCAAAAGACCCGCAATCGTGTTATCTACCTCGTAGTCGCCGCGGTCTTTCTAGTGGCTGTCATTGCCGGCATCGTCGTTAGTGTTAAAAAGTCCAACTCCGATTTCGATGGAGTCTCTGCTTCTTCGATGACACCTTCCGCTTCTGTCAAGAAGGTGTGTAACGTGACCCAGTGCCCAGATTCTTGCTTCAAGAGCATTGGTAGCAGAGGAGGCCACGAAGAAAAAAAAAAAATCATTCAAGCAACAGGTTTTCGATAAAGTTCAGCCTGAACATTTTGGTTTTGTTTTCGATAAATTTTACAAACCCATTTTGCCCACCAACGTAATTACCTAATCACCGAGACTTCAGCTCTCTCTTAGAAACAAAAACCAGCCATCTTCACCCATCACCGGCTGCCACAAAGCCCACCGTGAGTTCAACTGAAATTCGCCGTTCTCATGGCCGGAACACAATCAATCTGAGCTGGTTGCCATCAAGCCCAGCCACAATAGCTGGCCACCACCGTCCTTTTCACCGACAGAGGTCAACCGAGTTATCGTCGCTGCACCGCCATCAGGCCCATATTCATCATCACTTTCATTTGATCTGTCGCGAATCGCCCTCATTTGATTACAGGTCCACAGACTTAGCCGAAAAAGATTTCGGCAGGCTGCAAACGGTGTGGAGGCCTTGTAATCCAGGTGGTGAGATTGAGCGACGGGTCCATATACGTCAACGTCAGTGGAGGGGTATTGTGGGAAGACGTCTTAAGACGCTGCGTTTCGTGGACTGACTATCATGATCTGACGATGGGTGGTACGCTATCTAACGCCGACATCAGTGGCCAGGCCTTCCGTTACGGACCACAAATGTCAAAACGTCATGAGATTGGAGGTTGTTAATGGCAAAGGCAATACGTTAGTTCGTTCGTTCACGATAACGACACTGACCCAAAACCAGATTACTCCAGTGTCGTCCCACCAACCGTCCATCTCTCCGGCAGCTCACCGGCCATATTCATCATCGCCGGCCGCAAGTCCTCACTAAGCTCGCGGATCTATCTCGCTGGCAGTTTTTCATCTCACCAGCCGTCCATCTCTGCCGCGAGCTTGCCGGTTAACTTCATCAGTTTATCCTCGTCAAGCCGTCGCCCACTGGCGGACCAGCCCGTAATCCACCACAACTTCTCCTTACCTCCTCTGTTAATTACTAACTGGTGTAAAGCTCCTCAGTTATATATATATATATGTATATATATATATACTGCCTAATGGCCACT